TTTAGTATAATTTGGACTTCTCTCATTTAGGCTACCTTCTGGCTAATTCCTAACCCTGTCTCTTGAAGGGGGGCCTTTGCGCTTTGCTTACTTTACCTGATGAGAGTTACTTCCCTTGCCAACGTGCCCCCCCCCCCTTTTAACCCAGAGGTTAGTGGAGTAGCGCCTTTGCTCACTTTACCTGATGAGAGTTACGTCCCTTGCCAACGTTCCCCGCACCCCCCGATTAACCCAGAGGTTAGTGTAGTAGAACGGGATGAGACCACTGGGGATACCGAGGACGTCAGAGTATGCAAACTGGGTTATAAAAACTTGTATGAAAAGGAATCCTCAGATTTTATTCTTCAATATCATGTTAAATTTAACAATTTTAAATTTATAATAATATTAATAACAATTATCTTCTTTATTAAATTAAAGACTCATATAAGACCATATAATACAACGATAATAATATTTGTAAATTACACTAATTTAAAACAATACATTAGAACTATGTCAGAGTATGCATTTTGGGTAATTAAAGGAGCTAAATCGCTAACATTTGGGACCTAGAAATTGACAAAAGTGGGTCGCAACTCATATAATACTGTAATATGAATGTATATAAAATGATTTACATTCAATGGTTTCCGTTTTTACTCCAATTTCAAATCAGTTATGTTCGGCGAAATAAGCCAGCAGTCTCAAGCGAGTGCAAATTTCTAGCGTCTGGTTATTCCAGTCTACATACGCCGTTTGATTTGGTGCAATGTTTCTAGCCTCGTCCCTCGAGCCTCTTGATACATCTGGGGCTGAAGCGCATTATGGTACACGATTCGTGTACCAATGGTACAACGTTTATTTTGTCTTAAATATTGGATATCAAAAGCCCATCTTTTTCCGGTAAGATCACAACATGAATGTTGATTTAATTTGACAAATAATTCGTGTTTTCAGTGTTGAAGATTTTGGATGATATTGAGTTAGAGACTTAGCTACTTTAAAATTAATATAAAGAATCCTCAGATTTTAATCTATTAGTAGTAAGATGTTAAAATATCTAACAACTTTAAATTTATAAGCTTATACCATAAAGGGCTCACATCGAGCATAATCCTACAACAATACATTAACAATAATATTTACATTATTTAAATTTAAAACAATACATTATAACTACTCGTTACGGCCTAGACCTACGCGTATATTAAAATGTAGCTATCAGAGTATGCAAATTGGGTTATAAAAATCCCCCGATTTTAATCTATTAGTAACATGTTAAAATATTTAACAATTTCACATGTATAATAATAATAACAATAATAATTCATTACCATAAGGTCCCACATAGGACAACAACATTACCCTACTAATACTTAGATTGATTTTAAACAATACTACATTAGTATTACTGGTTATGACGTAAACTACTACCTAACTATGCATTTTAATACCATACTTTCCCGAAACAGCACAATTATTGGTAACATTAAGACAAAAAAAAAAAAACAATAAAAAAAAAAACAAAAACAAACAACCAAACATTAAACAGGCATAATACAAGAACTAAATCTACCAATTGCAGGTCTTTCTTTGGGCCTTAAATGTTATATAAACTGTTCATTAGACATTTATTAATATGAAAAGATCATATCCGAATCTCAATGCCATCGGATAGGACAGATGATTTTAAGTAGATTAGAACGGTTCAGCCATTTAATGGTTAAGCTAGGCTAAGCTTCGAAGAACCAGTACGATGATTCCAGTCAATGCACACATCTTGTCAAACCTTCAAAGGCTAATATCTTCACTCAGAATAAATTGATTTGAATGACATTTTTAGTTTATTCATTATCTGTTTTTGAACTATTATATCTAAATCTTACGTAAATGATTTAATGAATAATGCAAAACATTGATTAGTTGTAAATACATGAAATTATGACTTATCAATAAGCTCACAGAAGAAATACAAATACATGTATAATTATTATACAATATGGGCTAATACTGAATAGAGTGAATATTGTTTTGTCTAATCCTCATTTGTTTTGCTAATGTTTTCTAATTTCTGCCTTTTATATGCAAGTTTGTAGTTCTCGGCAGTATGATACAGTTCAAAACAGAGGTCAAGTGTTTTATTACAATCATTGCATTGATATAAAGTCTCTCGACCAGGACGCTTTCTTTTTACTCCCTGTTGTACATCCATTTCTCTCTCCGTCGGAACACAGACAGCACAGGGTCTAGAGATATAGTCTTCTTAGTCACTGTTGGAACAATCTTTGGGGAAGGTGTCGTACTGTAAGTCTGGGTAATGGGGCGGCATTTTCACACGGGCGACCTCGTCGTACACGATTGGCAACAGCAGCAGACCCAGACTCAATGGCCAGTTTTGTTCTGAAAGTATGCTGCCTCATTTTCTGTTGGCTTTGGGTCTTCTATAGTAAATAAGTGTTTAGACAACAAAGCCCAATAATATGAAAACATATCCTTTTCCACCATAAGAGTTGACGTCGACGAAATCATTCATATTTAACCATTTGATCAGTCCCATCAACACCTCCCATCCATTTCGTGTATTCAATACATTCAGGTTTTTTCACCACTTTGTGGCAATGTCGACCCTTACCAAATTTTATCTTCATTACCATCATTGGTCCATTGTGCATGATGATTCGTTCATCCTTATCCTTTAGTTGTGAAGTATATAAGCTGGCAGGAACACCTTTACGACGTCTCATTGTGCCAATCGAAAAGGTATCATGTTTCAGAAGATCGCGAAACAAAACTGGGGATGTATAAAAGTTGTCACAGTAAATAGAGTATCCCAAGGTAACCTTCATTAGATCCATTACATTTTACAAGATCATAAACCTTCCCATTTGGTCCTGGAGCCACACCTGTATCACCTGTTTAAATTCTATATTTTACAAAGTAACCATTCGTTGAATCCTAAAGTTTGATACCCTACTTTCTTGTGGGGTGTGTATATTTCCGAAAAAGAATTACATATCAGTTTAAATGGTTCACCAAGTTTAAAGCGGGGATCGTGTCCATCATCACATGGAATGAAATTGGCATTTTCAGTGAGATGAAAAAATGTTAAGAAATCTGTCACGTGGCATGGCCGAACCAAAAACGGAACACTTGCGCCTGAATCAGTTGACCAATCAGAAATAGCTGGAAGCTTTATCAATCCTAAACAAATTAGTAAACCAATGAATACTCTCATTTCTTTATCAGACACATATTTCCACACTCGGCAAATCTCGGCAGATTCCGGTACCCTACATCTAACCTCGGCTGTATGATAGTAATTGATATGTACCTACGCCCATACATTTGCGATGCGGCTATCGGTTTACTTTAACAGGAAAACGTGCCGCTTTTACAAAAAAGTCCCGAAATGGCGTCTTTTGTCGAGTGTATATAACTAAACGAGTAGAGATATTATCTCAAGGCTGCTAGTTTGATATAATTCCCTGGTAATTCCCCAAACCCAATGACAAACTTGACGTTTGTTGATATAAAACACTCTCCACAGAAATCTCCATGGGCGCAGCCATTTTTCATCCAAGACCTTTAAAATAGTTCCAATATGGCGGAATGCGTCATACAGCCGAGATTAGATGCGTAGAATCTGTCGAGGTTTGCCGAATGATATTTCCACTTACGAAATCTTGATGAAAATGACAAGTTAGGATTTTTATCAAGGTAATCTTTAGCATAGCGGTTTGTCCCCACAGTCAAATCATGAAATATTTTATCACTAAAATACGGATTATAGAAATCTAATTTATTAGGCTCAGCAGGGAGTTCAATGTTATCTTTTAATCCAGAATTTTGATTAAATTTTCCGGCATCACATGTTCATTTCCAAGTGACCAGGAATTGTCATCCAAATTAAATTCATTATTACTGGTATTTAACACACCATCCCTCCCAGCAGAATTTGTCTAGGCCTATGTTATCATCACTGTCAAAATTATAGTCGAAAACTGTGATCAAATTTGCACCGAGTTCACTATCTTAATCGTTAAATAGTACGTCCAACGCTTCCTCGGCAGTTAGCCGTGACACAACGTCACGTTTTACTGAACATGTATCATCACATGAATCACCAAAATCTTCGGAAAATTAGCGAAAAAATGTAAGCAAAGCTACAAGAATGACGGCCGACGGCACTTCTTTCGTTTAGTGAAACGCCACCTATCGAACATCGGAGTTAAGACGCCGGGAAATAAAAACAATCGGTGATCACAGAAACGCCACCTCTCGAACATCGGAGTTAAAACGCTGGGAAATAAATACAATCGGTAATCACAGAATAGTCCTGGTGCCGTCTATGAAGGTTCATGCCGATACCGGAATAATCCGGGTAACGCAGGACAAAGGTTAACCTGTTCTATCACATGTGGTAATGCACTTCCCGTTTCTTCAAATCTTCATTACGCATCTATCGTAGCAATGAGCTATGTGATAAAATTATCTTTGGAATGTGTTTAACCAGTTCTATCAGATATGTGGTAATGACTGACACCAGCACTGTCATTTAAACCCAATTTCATTTTTTAAAATTTTATCTTTATGAATTTGGCTGCAAAAAATACATGACACGAAACTAGTCCGAAAATGAATTTTTGTTGGCCCGGGCAATGCGGCAACTTTGTAATGTCAAGCACTGACTTTGTTTAAAATATGGATATGGGGATTGTTCATAAACTAGAGGCGATTAAATTGTATATTTTTCTCACAACTCGGATCCCGTGTTTGAGACGAAAAATTTCCGATCTAAGAAGGTAACTTTTTTTTCAAATGGTTGAAATAACCACGCCACCCCAGTCAAGTTGTGCTTACCCTAACCCCTTAATGTTAACTACAATAATCAAAAAAGTGTCGACTTGGACAAAAGTAGACACGGTGTTTAAGTATCTCACAAATCTGATGGAAAATATCTTTTGTGATTCTGGGTAACTCCTGTAAGTTCAAAACATATAAAAAGAGAAAGCAAAACATGGTATTTTCAGTAGACTTTATTTATTTTCCATTGGGATAACCACAATAGCAATGATTATCAATACAATGGTATTCCGTTCTACAATTACAGTTATGTTGGTTAGCGTCCTCTATGCAGTTCTCTCTGTTCCTACAGGTTGCTGAAAGAAAAACAAAATAAAGAGTTGACCTAATTAGGAATTTCTATTTATTGTATTTGATCTGCTCCTTGTTTGTTTTCTTTTAAAAATAAATATTCATAATCTCCTATTTCTTACCTATGCCATCATCGCAGCGGGTCACACAGGTACAGAGATTTTCAACACATCTTAAAACACCTCCACTACAACTTGTTACTCTACAATCGTTGTTATTCTGACAATCTTCACTCGCCACAAGAGCTGCCCACGTGTAAAAAGGAGAGAAGGTTAAGATCAAATGAAATTGCATCAATTTGACGTCTCATTAAGACTCTATTGGGTAAATATAGGCTCATGTTAGCAAATTCAAACGTTTATTTATGAATCAAATATATTTCATTATAGTTAACTCTCTAATCTTTATAGGATATTTTTATCAATAACTTCTACATCTGCTTGAATGTGTTTTTCTTAGTATGTCTGTAAATTCAATTCTAGTCTGTCACGAAGCATCAACTGATGATTACTTTGAATATAATATACCGATCATTCAGAAATCACAAAAGCGGGCACTGCAAAATATTTTGGTATAACTACTAGTATTACATTTTTGATAAATGGACGCGACAGCGAATTATTAAAATAAAATTGAACTGGTTTGTGTCGAGTGGACGTTGAACTCAATTTCTCTCAAACACGTCATATTTATACAGGTCACAATTCTATGGAATACAATTACTGCTTTTCGATTAGATTTCTCTAGTCATTATCAAGCAATGATAATATGAACTATGTATATATATGTAATCAACAATACAACCAGAGACACCCTTCTAATACGGATATCCATGCATCGCATTAAGAAATGTACAGGTCACAATTCTACTAGGCTTGTCTAGTCATTCTCAAGCAATGATAAAATATGAAATATTCCAGTTCTGTTACTAAATGTCATTGAAACAAACGTCATGATTACTATTCCCATGGCCGATTCACTATTTTACACATGTAATTATTGTTTCAAATGTTTTCTCCTCCCACCACGAGATTCATGGCGGGACTGCGTAAATTAAATGCATCGTTGTTTATTACTTTAGAAGTGATGTTCTCTCTATTCTTTAAAGATGCCCGAATGCTATGCTAGTGAGGGTGGTAGTTTAACGAGTGTGAAAATGTTTGAATAACCGAATATTGACAAATAGGAAAGAGGCATAATACTGACCTGCACACACAGCTAGGATTATAAAACTTCTCATCTTGTTTACTCTCGCCACTTGTCCATGTCTGTACATGCACGCTTTTATAGTATAAATACAATTAAAAAAGACATTCCACCGAAGAAAGCTATGAATGTCTTATGATTGAGTTTTGAGTTTACAGATACATAAACATCTACCCATAATTATATTACAGTAAATATACTTGGAGTATTTATCTTTTTAATTGCCATTTTATTTCTATGAAAGATGCATTATGACTGTAATATTTAGAGAATTGAATATATTGCAATTATAATATTGTTACGATAATATAGTTGTTTCAATTATTGTTTACTTTATCCTTGAATTATTAAATGGCGAGGGGGGTCTAATCTGTTCAATAGCTAAACCATCCTATGCCCTAGAGAGGCGATTTTAGTCAAATTACTTTATTCTAATGGAAGTTATGTGTGTTTGAAGTTTTAATAAGTCTCGATTGTCAAGTATACCTTTGCTACGATAACATAGTTGTTTCAATTGTTATTCATATTATCCTTAAATTAAATATGGTGATGGGTTCTAATCCATTCAATAGCTAAGCCATCATATGCCTTAGAGAGGTGACTTTTGTCAAATTACTTAATTCTAATCGAAGTTATGGGTGTTAAATGTGTCCAAGTGTGTTGATTATGGACCTGTCATGTGCATAATTATCTATATAATAATTCAAATAACATTTGAAGCTATTGCAGATAATTGCACGGTAACTATACACTTGACATTAACCATCAACTACAATGGCTAGTGAAAATTAGCCTTGAAAATTAGACTTGCTAGTGAAAATTAGCCTTGTTAGTGAAAACTAGCCTTGCTATAGCCTTGCTAGTGAAAATTGGCGTTTTAAAAATTACATCAATGTTCGATACCTTGCCTAGTTTAGGAGACGTATTTGGACCCCATTAAAATACGTTTTGTGTATACACTGCTTACACAGCACGGAGGCAAATTTTAATGCGTGACTGGACAGATAATGGCCAATTTATATTTACATGGGATTCAGATGCGAAAGGCAACAGGATTTGCTATTTTCAACACAACATCTCTTTAATATGCCATATGTTTAAACTCAAGATATATGTAGGCCTTTATATCAATATGATTAAAATACAGGGCCCATATGCATAAAAAATCTTAAATCCAGGCTAATATTTACGTATAAGTGTAAGTTTTAAAAATGGTTTTCTCATAATAAAATCCTTTTCACTATAGGAAAGCCCACCTTAAGCTGTTATCCAGTTATTTGTCCATTATATGATCACTTGAGACTAGAATAATAAATTATTGCTTAATTAAATAGATTTGGTACTGTCAATGATTGACACTGACTGTAATAAAGAGACGAACATTAAATAAAATGGAATGAGATCGAGATGGAGGTACCATAAAACAAATTAACTGTCTAACTAAAGTTTGAATAATGAAATAACTTCAAACTGTCATATATATATATATATATATATATATATATTTAATATAAATTATTGGAGATTTGTATATTTTACATTCTGCAAACCTCAGAAGACTCCATTACTCTACATCTAACATCGGCTGTATGACTAATTCTGCCATATTGGAATGGATTAAAAATGGCGACGCCCACGAAGACGCGTGTGAAGAGTGTTTTACCTAAAGACTGAATTGTTTGAGAATATACATGTATGTGAAAGCTGTATTAATAAGAGCACACTCGCTATCAGTTTCAAGTAAACATATATTAATAACATGTGGACGCTTACGGCTAGCCCCTGGATCCATTCACTTTTTTTTAAATTGTCTGTATGTTTGTGTTTTCCGGAGTATGATGTCCTGTCCGTGTATTTGTTTTTGTGTAAATTTTGTGTGGTGCAGTCCCCAAGCACTTAATATTGATGAGTTTAATAACAAACATGGTCGTCAGAAATCAATGGCAACAACTCAACTGTCGTCCATTAGGATGTCGGTTGCCAGTCCTATTCAGAGGTCTGTGGAAAAGAAACACATGTCAACAACTCCATCGAACAACTCCATCGTCCATTAGTTCCTCGTCAAATTCAGCGTTCTGTGGAAAGGTTAAAATGTCTTTGTTTAAATGACACGGAACCAAAGAAGTCTAGACAGAGATTGAAATATCACACAGTAAAAAACCCAAAACAAAATATACCGTGCATGATAAAAACACAAACTTGTCCTTAATTACATGATCATCATGCATATGATCACTCTTACTCTACACCTGTGCTCACACCTACAGCAACCCCGTGTCCAGTTCTTAATCAGATCACGGTTATAGGAAATCACACAATAAATCACAAAGAAGTGAACATAATACCACCCACACATCTGCCGACGAATTCCTTAAACAGCTATGTTGTGACATATCACCAGTTATTGACAAATTTGTACAAACTGTTTCAAAATTTGGAAAAAGGTATTTTATTTGTGAAAGATCTAACATTTTAAAGTTAAACAATCTATTAATTTATTACTTAATAGTGATATGGTTAAGAAAATGCTAAATGATTATACATAGGTTGTTATTGTGGTTTATAAATAGGGATATGGTTCAATTGTTATGTTATAAGAGTATGATCAGAAGGAAGGAGGAGAGCGTAATCACCCCATTGATTATGCATATTATATACACATTAGTTAAATTACCATATTATTAGAAAACATGCTCAAAGACACTAACCAATTTATTTTTGTTTTGATAGTATGAAAGGGGTATCGATAGTATGATTTTTATTAAGCCTTGGTGGTGGCTTCAGTCCCAGATTTTATCTGTTAATAAGAGATCGAGATCTTGAAGTCATTTTCAAAGGTAAATGTTGTTGTTATAACTCTTAATTTATGTTATGTTTTTATTGTCTTACTCATGGATGTACTATAAAAGTAGGTTGTTATTCATTATTGATAATGATCTTGTCTGCGATATCGCCTCGGTGGAAGCGGACGTAAAATACAACTAACTAACAACAACATTATTAATCTTGTCTGCGATATCACCTCGGTGGAAGCGGACGTAATATACAACTAACAAACAACAACATTATTGATCATTGCTTGATAAAGATACCTGTACGAGTATTGAAACGTTTTATGTAATAAACCAAGAAGTAGTAAATCCATAAAGTTGTGTTATTATGAAAATGTATGACCTGTCAAAGTAATAAATGTGATATATTTGATAATATGTCCAGGTTGTAATAAAGAGTATATAGGCAAAACCGAATCACAACTGAACATAAGGATGAACTTACACAGATCCCACATTGCTAATCCCAAAAATAGAATTTTTCCACTAAGTGAACACTTAGATACATGTGGAAAGGGAAAATTTAGGGTATTCCCCTTATATAAACTCAACTGGTCGGAAAATAATTTGCTAGAAAATAAAGAACGGCATTTTATTAACAAGTATCACTCTAAATTAAATGCTGCATATTTTTATATTGTAATTTGATATTGTAAAATATTTATATTTGATATTATTATTGTCATGTACATATATGTATTAATAACACCATAACGTCGTGTAATTGTATACTATCTCATTATTAAATGCCTGATGATCCCCGTAGTGAGTGAAAGCGCTAGCTAAGATGAAATTAGTTTTTTTCTTTCTAAAAACCTCACTTTTCTATACATATAATTAATTGAGATTATTTTGACCTGGACACCCCCATACCCCTTCCACACCAACCAGTGCTTACAATGAATTACAAATAAACATCTTTGTATTTCAAATAACAAAAAAAAAGTCTTTGACTATATGACACTTAAACATGTCATTTCGTCATTACATTATTTAGGCCCATGCAGATTTTACTTTTACAGCTGGAAATATTCCCCTCCTGTCATTTGTTATGGACACACTGCAGAACCAAAACACCTTCTCCTGAAGACAAACATGAAATTTATGCAAACTATGTACAAGGAAAATGTCATCGATGAGCAAATACATGTTAAGTACTGTGGGTACTGTCGCTAAAGAAAATATATCAATAGATCAGTAATAACACAATCTAAAAAGATATGTTTAAGCGAAAGCATGGGGACATTAAATTTCATTTGTCTGTTCTTCACAAAATCTTTAACCTTGGTCGTAAATTTTGGACCGTAAGAGATAAGGAGGGCTTTCATATAATTTCGCATGTATATTCTTCGTAACAAAACCTTTTTGTCAGTACAAAAATTTTAACCTTGATCATAACCTTTAAAATCAAATGGGGTTCAACGCCCAGGCCCTCCGTCCTGCACCACTAACAAGGGGGAATCTCAGCCAACGCAGGGAACAAACATGCGACCGCCAGGTTAGCGAGCCAACGCCTTACGATGCTCCCCCATATATATATATATATATTTTTTAATCCTAATAGTTAGGGTTTCCATATTCCACATGTGCATTACCTGCAACAATGTCTGTCCAAATGTACTATATTTTTTTTACCTTCACCTCGAAGTTTATAAGACCTTGTAAGCGGGTGACTACAATTCTCTCTATTTGTTTTTTTTTTCTGGAATAAAATCTAATACTATTTATAAGAACCTGAAGTTTTACTGAATGTGGGAGAGCCACGGTGGCTAAATGGGTATAGTCACTATCACAAACTCAGCACCTGTCATTCAGGATGTTGTTAATAATTTTGATAGAATGACCTATATACATGACAAACATAGCATATAAAGCGTTCATTAGAAAGAGATGTCATTTGTATTCTGAAGGAACTTGTCCCTTTAAAAATTCAAAAGTCTCAATTTCATGTTGACTGAGTAAATTTCAAAGAAATTGTCATGGCGAAATTTGCAGGACTGTAAAAGGAATTGCTATTCCCTCAGAGAGTGGAGATGAATCACTTTCAGAAAATGTAGTTTATCTGGCTGTACAAAAGGTATCTACAGTTTGTCATGTATTGTGGTGTACTATGGACTAGAGGTCTGGATTATACTACAATAAAGTGATTATTATTATAGCCACCTGTTCCGACGATTTAATTCAGTAATAAAAGGCAAAACTATTCACACGTTGATTGTACATGGTTGAAACTATTTA